GCTTGTGTAGCGAGAGAGATTTTTCAAAGCCCTGAAATAAAAATGAGTATGAGTCTCCCTTCCATCTCCAAAACAACATCTGCTTCAGTACACAGTGGTGTTGCTTCTCACTAACAGCCACTGTTCTCCATGACTTGAATTACTGAGTGAACACTGTGATATGACGCTAGTGATCCACTACATGGGACTTATAGAGGCTTGTAAAAATAAGAGATAAAAAGCATCACTGGGAGGACAAAGTGAAAGGACTCACTCTGTTAAAAAACGATTAGAGGGAAAAAAAGAAGAGAGAGTGTGGTGGCTAAGTGCTTTAAAGCTCTGACGGATGTCTCAGCAACAACATCTCCCTACATTTTGAAGAGGAAGGCTCCAGATAGCTGCAGTTCATACATTACACAGTACTTTAAGGATGTCAAACAAACTGCATGAAGAGAAAAGAAATCTGTGCTGCTCAGACAGAAATAAACTGTGCAGCTTCTATGATTAAAATACCACTTTAGAATCAGGGTCACAGCTGCATAAATAATAGCTGGCAGCAGCATTATCTCTTCTATTGTTGTAATTATAAAAGCTGCTGCTATAATGTCAAAACAAATGAAAGGAAGGTTTGGATACTGTCTTAATTTCAGGAGCATGATCTGTTCAACTCATGCTCATTGCATTAGCCTCCCTGCTAATGGCATCAGCTGTACCACTCCTCTGTCTTGCTCTGTGACTCCTCCAGCTCACTGCTGATTTGAATACATAAAAAAATTTCAGACTAGTATAGCAGCAGTGGCTGTGTGCTGTGCTGTCTGATGGCTGTTTGCTAGTTTGAATACGTAAAAAGTATTCAAAATAGCATAGCAACAGTGGCTGTGTGGTGAGCCGTCTGATGGGCTGATTTGCTTTCAGTCCAACAGGGAAGGTCCTGGCTTTACAGGAAACATCAAGGTCTCAGCACTGCCCTTCAACTTCTTATTTCTCTCTCCTCTTCCCCTCACCAATACAGAAGCATTGAGTTCATGCACACAAGACAACATAATAACAAGTGCTAAAGGGCGAAATTGATCAGCTTGGTCAACTGCGTCCAGTCAGCTATTTGTCTGTGCCTCTGCAAGTTTCTTTTCAAATCACACTCTCACACAAACAGACAAACAATGAAGAATATCGTCTTACATGCTGCTCTTCTTCCGAGGAGAGCTGATGGAGCCCTTCCTGTGCTGGCTGAGGGAGCCCCCCATGGCAACAGCCGAGTCGGTGTTTGTTTCAGATGCTCTGTATATGTCCTTTTCCCCTCCCAAGGTTCACCTCTGCTTCTCCTCCAAACAGCCTGGCTCAACGTCAGAGCCCCATAACGCACTGCTTCTCATGACTGCCTAGTTATTATTCAATCAACCAGCCTCTCCTCTCTTCGTCTTTTCGCTGTGTCTGTTGATGCTGTACAGGCTAAACACTCAGGAGTGCCAATGGACACACATGAATAGCTCTGCTGATAGTCCCGCCTCCTCACTCTATTTCTCCTCACCCTCCATCATCTCTCTCTCTTTCAAACACACACACACGTACACACTCACCAGAAGCAGATTATATTCACTTGTTAGGCAATGCACAGCCTCTAGAAGGAGAAAGACAGAGAGGTGGAGTGTGTGTGTGTGTGTGTGGGGAGGGGGCAGTTTAAAGACCACTCAATCCAAGGAGTTGGGGGGGGTAGATGGAGAGTGTGTGTCATGGGGGTATCTGGCAGGGGTGAGAGTATTGTTCAAGAGAGAAAGAGTCTCTTCTATTGTTAGTCAGCTGAATACCAGATCTGAGATCCAGGGGGAGGGAGGGATGATGGAGGGAGAGTTGGTGGCATAAAACACAGCTCCACTTGTTGTACCACAATCCCACTACCTGCTGTGACCCAGAACCCACCCCTGCAGCCCCTCACAGTTTAGCATGATAATACACACACACACACACACACACACACACACACACACACACACCCACACACACACAAACACACACAAACACACACAAACACACATGCACACAGTTAAAGCTCACAGTTTGTTTGAATACATTCATTTCCTAAGCTCATCAGTTACATTTTGACCCCTTACCCTGAAACTAAACTGGATTCAAATTCAGATCAAACAACGCAATCAGTGTGACAAAAAAGGCATCTCTAGGCTGACAGAAACTGAATATGATTACTCTAAACATGTGAAAAGCTAGTTAGACATTATTTAACCAACAGGGTAAGAATAAACCTGGAAGTGTGCTGTATCATTGGTCCATTCATCCTACTGAGTGTCAATACAGCAGAGCCACATAATGATTGAAAGAAATCTCACCTCTTGATTCAAGCCTGTGCCATTCCGTTAGTCTCTTCTGAAAAATTGAACAATGGCTAAAAAACCCTGAGAGTACTAGAGAATCAGGCAGTGGTTCCCGGGACAGGCCAGCCTTTGAAAATAACTGAGAGGCTTTCGTGCATAACTTACTCCCACTGAGGTGAATCACATGAGGCTCACTATGGCAGTCCTAATTTCTGAATGACTTCACCACATATCATACACAGTGGGCACAATCGCACACTGTGTGAAAAACAAAGTGATACTGAAGTAAGTATAATTTACTTACTTTATTTACTTACTTAGTGTATGATATTGCAACGTTAACGGACAGTGCAGCCTTTCGACTGTTACTCTGGTCACTTGTTAGCTTCTAACTTCTGTTAGCATCGTAAATTAAGTAAACTATAAATAAATACAGGAACAGTATAGCGAACAGCCATGACGAATGGCTCCAAACAAAAGCTCAAACCAAGTAGAAGACTTCAACTTGCCTCATGGTTGTTGTCAAAGTTAGTCAATAGTCAATTCACCCGCTGTAAGTGATGCCGTGTTTACTTCGCGACTGCGCATGCTCGAGTAATTTGTCATAGCAACGAGGCTGGACAAAGTACTGGATAAAATAAAAGTATCTCAATATAACCAGTAAAATGTATATGAAAGTAAAATAAAAAACATTAAATGCAGAAAATATGTACTGTGTCATTCAATTTTACAATTAGATTACTATTGCTGACGCATTAATGTTTAAAAAGGATTTTACTGTTGTAGTTTCCTGTTGAGGTGGACCTGATTTGAACTATTTTATGTAGGAATGCAACTAATTATTTCCATACGGTTTAATCAGATTTTTTTTTAAATTAAATTAAAATTTTAGAAAAATATTGACACATTCTCAATGTTTGTTTTGTCCAACCAATAATTCATGCCTTAAAATTATTAAATAGGTAAATAACATATGAAAATAGTTAGAAGGAAAACTATAAATCCATTTGAAAAGCTGGAACCATGAAATGCTTGCAATTCATGTAAATTATTAATTAATTGACTTGACCATTAATTTTCTGTCAATCAATTAATCATTTTATCAGCTAACCTGTACAGCTGCAATTGTATTGTTAGGTGAAGTAATATAAGTTCTAACTTAATTTTGTTATCATTTTACAGGCTCTTCATGTGTTTTGTATATAAACTTTTAATTTGTAAAGTAACTTGTAACTAAAGCTCTCAAATGAAAAGGTATAATATTTCCCTATGAAATGCAAGAAGTATAAAGAGGCATGAAAAGAAGATCCTCTAGTAAAGTATATGTACCTTAAATTGTACTTAAGTACAGTACATGAGTAAATGTACTTTGTTGCTTATCACTGCTGATGCTGTGTATGTGATTTATAATTGCCACAGTGAAGTTATTCCTCTTAAACCCCCCTCCCCGACTCTTATTACTTGCTGCAGGTTAATTCATTGTGTTTCCAGATCCAGAATAAGAATGCTTCATTGAACTCCAAAGAACACAACAAGACCTTTGAAATGTTTTATTATGGCACACACAACATGTAACCATATTCATAGGGTATGTATTCAGAAAGGAAAACATTTGTTTTTGGTATCAACATATTAGTATCAAATGCCAAAACAGTATTTATGGTGAAGAGGAAGAGCCAGTCTTTACTGTTTAAATACCTACATTTCCAGAAACAGAGATAATGGTGAGGTTCAAGGAAATCACTCCAACATGGGAATTTAGTGTTCAGTGCATTTCTAAAGAATGAAAAATGAACAACCCCATTCGGTTAATTCGTTAATTGTGCAGATGTTACACCCAGAGAGCTGAGATACAGGTGATTCAGAGCTTTGGTGGTGGGGCTGTGATGCCCTGACAGTGCATAAGATATGAGTCATTGAGAAAGTTAAATCACTCTAACAGAGAGAGTTTCTCAACTTTGTTGTTTGGACCTCATGTTGCTTGATATGCAGATGCAGATCTGAGATATTTCTAACAATGATATACTGATATTTTTAAAATATATTTTACATAAAATAAATATGATTTGCTTCAGAATCACACAATTTATATATAATCTATTTATCATGCTCTTTAAATCAAATTCATGTGATTTCAATGTTACAACTGTTATTGCTGCATCTGTAAGAATTATGTAAATATTGGAACGTAAATTCAGTCACCACCAGGAAATGTTGAGAAACTCTGCTCTGACTTAAAAAAGTGCATGCAATACAGATAGAAATGGTGATTACACAATACCTTCATACAAAGGAACAAATGAGGGGATCATGTATGATTTGGCCCTTAGATTTTGCAAAAGTTATTCAGATCCCAGTCTGTCTTGGAATTAACTATATCTGAAGATAAAGAATACCAAGGTGGTATTGGTTTACAGCAAGATATAATTTGAGTCATCTATAACAGAGCAGAAAGAAGAGAATGATAAAGGAGGAGTGGAACAGACCTAGAGGAGAAAAGGTGGAACTGGCCTTTCTGTGCAATTCCCACAATGCTATAACATGCTGTACTCACACAAACAAACACACACACCATGAGAAGACAACCAGCTTATCCTTTGAAGCACCTGCATTTCTGTACTTCATTTCTGACACGATACTTCATTAGGATTACTTCTTTCCAAAACATGTGTAGATATGATCAAACTGAAATGAAATAAAAAATGTGGTTAGAAAGAAAGATGAACTTCACTTTTCATTTACAGTCAATATAAGACTGAAAAAGGAGCTGCCAGGAAACTTGTAACAGACAGAATATCAACCTTCATTTTCCTAATCAGGTTATTTGTAAGGAGGAGGTCTAATGTTATGCTATGGGAGAGATTCCTTGGTCAAGAGAGATTCCCAGTTGACACACATAATATGGATTATAGTTAATTATAATTATAGTTCTACATTTCTGAGTTTTGGAGGCTGTACACAGGTCTGGGAAATATATCAAATTTTATAGATTATAATCTACTATTTTAATTATATTCTGGGATATTTAAATATATTTTTTGTGAACTACAGTACATAGATATGCCAGCTGAGAATGAATTCCAGTTTGAAATACAAACCAATTTGATGAACACTATACCCGTTACGTAACTTGATGTGTTCTTCCTTACTTGAACAATTATTGTGTGTGTCCACTGGTTCACATGATTATTTTTTTTCAATATTATTCAGCTGCAGCTGTAAGCATGATACGTCAATAATTGTTGGCAAGTGAAAGTGCAAAGTAAAATAAAATAAAAAAAGACTCAAATTAAAAAAAAAAAAAGTGCAATCAGGAGCATGACAGTAATGTTTGGGTGGATTTGAAACAACTTTCACACACCAAACCCAGTCCGGTAGTGGGAGTTCAAACGAAACCAAGAAGCTATGACTACCACAAATTATCTGAAACAAGATCACCTGACTGCAGCCAAAAAGTCTCCACTGTTGGGAGGAGGAGAGGGCAGGGCAGGCAGGTAACACCCAGACGGTAAGGCATTCTGGAAGAGGATTGTGGAGCCTCTAGCTCAGTCACGGTGTCCTTCATTTTCATACTTTCAGGTTACTGTCATGTTAGCAAGTTTACATTCATAAAACTTTTATTACTGTTGTGGCTGTTCAAAGGCCACACCCAGCTTATCATAGATCTCCTTCAGCAGCAGGAGAGCAGTATCCTCAGATTCCCTAACAGACAGACAAACAGAAAGAGAAGGAGAAGGGGGGAAAACGTAAATGATTTTAGATTTTAAAAAATTGCTACATAAAATGTGATAAAACAAAGAGCAAATACCAGGAACGCAACATACAAGGACACAATTATTGTAGTTCACCTCTCCTCTGAACAGGTATGCATGACTCACCAGTAACACAGATGAGACTGGATGGCAAACAGGTATTCGTTAAAGCTCTCAATGGGTTTTTCCTGAAGTACATAGTCGATCCTTCGTCCTCCATTCAACATCCCCACTTTAATCTCTGGCTGCTCTCTCTCCTCTGTTGACACTGAGGACTCTGCCTCCTCACTCACTCCTGCAGGGACAGAAGTCAAAACAGATAAGACTGTATAGACAGACAATAAACAGCAGAAACAATGATAATAGCTAGCAGCAGCTTCCTGTCTTCACTCATATTTTTTGGTAAAACAAGAACAGATTATATAATAAGACAGGAAAGAAGAAAGTAGCTGCTGTCTGCAGCAAACAACATTCAAACCAAAGGGAATTTATAGAATAATGCAGGTTGAATACAACACAATGCAGTTTCATTCACCTCTCCTCTGGAGTTGAATTAAATTCTTAAACTCTTTCTACCCCAGAGATTAGTCAGCAGCGTAATGCTGTAACAAAGTATAGCATATATACTGTAGGTATCAACACCAAATACAGGCATAATTTGCTCATATACGATGTGCTGACCAATTACAGTTAAAAGAACATAGATTTAACTATTTCATTAAAAAAAAAAAAGGGCAACAAATACAGGTCTTACAAATACTGCAGGTATAGGGTAGGTTTTAAAAGCAACTCAGAAATATTCAGCAATAGTGGTCACATGATGATAACATTTTAAGAGATAATTTCATATAATAAGAAACAATATTTACATATCACATTTCCTAACAGTGCTGTATAAATTTAAATAAGTTGTGATAAGTTTTTTACTTGTTTATTTTAAATTGACCTGTTAAATGTTTGGGCACTGACTCTTAAGTGAGAGTATGATGTTGAGTAAATGTCAGTAAAAGTGGGTCCATTTTGTGATGAATGAATGTGTTTGTTGGTATATTATGAACACACTGTTCACTGTCTTAAGAGTGATCTCAAATTGGCCCTCCACAAAAACCTAAGTAGCTGGCTGCTACTTTTTCATGCGTTTTAAAATGGATATTTCGGACACCCTAATTCTGCATTTACTATCTTATAATTATAACATTAAAAAGTAGTACTACTAGTACCGTGCAGTACTATTTAGGGAGCTGAGGCAAACAAATTTCTACAGGCTGAAGTTTGGTTGAGTCTTCTTTAAGGGAAAAAGAGTGAAAAGTTGACAAAAAATAAAGTTGTAATTTAAAATGTATGGTCTTTTTTTGATAGCAGCTGCATTCCCTTTGTGTCATTTAATGAACTGACAGATTAAGAATTCCAGGTGGTTTAGAAAAGGACAGGACATGTAGCTGCATGTACGTGACTTGCTACTGATGAATGACATTACAGTGCTGGTTCAGCTCCAGCAAATGACTCTTGTTACAAAAACAACTGTATCACTACTATACCACAGGTGTTATATGTTCAGCTCTTAAGAGAGTGTCCCATGGGCTGGTTACAGAAGTGTCTTCTGATGCTGACAGTCAGTGAAGCACTCAACTCAACCAATCACAACTGATAGCCAGAGAGGGAGGGAAAGCCCTGAAGTAAGTGTCAGTAAATTAAACTTGAAGATTAGATGTACAGCAGGAGTAATGCAGTTGGGCATTATGGAAAGGAGGAGCAGAGGAGTAGTGAGAGCCTGCAGCAATAATGACTTACATTACATACCATTTGCTCTTTGAGAAGAAGTTAATGTGCCAGAGTAAACCATAGTAAGTAGCAGAACAGAAGAAGAAAGAATCAATACTGCAGGTACAGCAGCATATTTTCTACAAGGAATGAAGTAGTGACAGTAATTTCTTGCTTAAATAATGGAAAATTTTCCAGATTCAAGCCAGGGAATTTGAAATATAAAAGGCTGTATGAGAGACAGTCTATAATAGGCTCATAGGCTTTCATAGGCTCATAGGCTAGAAAAGTAGGTGATCACCAACCATTCCACTAAGCAGTTAATAATAACCTAGAGAGAGTTCATTTACTCGCTTTTTCATTTACTCTAGCCATGTGGTTATCCTGGCTTACCTTGGAAGTAATACTTATGAAGGGCCCTGGGCCACTCCAGTATTTTAGTCCAAAAATCAGCACTTTTCTCGTCTCTCTTAGCAGAAGCAGTGACTGCCGCTGAGGCTGAGGTTCAAGGTAAAATGGTAAGGGTTGAAGGGTCGCAGGAGCAACCACCAGACAGAGCAGAAGAGGGGAGGGGAAGGGAGGGTGGTAACATGCAAAGAGGGATGAGAGGAGTATGAAGAGACAGGGTTAGAACTCTTCTGCACACTCCCACACACACACACACACACACACACACACACACAACATTCATAAATACAAACAAAAGTGTTTTTTTTTACCCTGTGTCTCTTGAAGGTTTCTCTCTATTGTAGTTTCTCCTTCGTCAACCGGGGGCAGTGCAGCAACAGGTAGCCTGGAAAAAGACTGCCACGCCGTCCTTAGTGATCCCAATACATTGTTCTTCAAATCCATGCTCATACGGGTCAAGCTGTCCTTTAGTTCTTCAGGACAAAGGAAATATAGACTATCATTAAACAAAAGCTCATACGACAATATTGTTCAACAAAGACAAGGAAAAAGAAAGACAGTCATACCCAGGTGCATCCTCTTTCGGCCTTTATGATGAGGGATTAGCATAGGCTCCAGATCTACCTCTGAAATAATCATGGGCTCTATCCGATAGGCCACAGGGTCATACTACACAGCAATAACAGGGAAGAGATGAAAGTAACTTTTAATAGATGACCTGTTTCAGTATGTAAGAAGAATGCTGTAACTGTGGCAAATGAGAGCTTGTGTAATCCTGCAGCAAATATGTGATTACTCACCGGGTGGTAGATGTTGTAAAAACTCTTGCAGGTTGGGAAGGTGTAGTTTGGATCGATGCGTTTGAGCCCACGAACAGTCAGAAACATTCCAATGGGAGAGCCAAATGCAAAAAACGTCTGAGGGTGGAATGCCAGCTGTGGGTAATCAATGGATACCTGGGGAGAGAGGGTGGGCTCAGAAACACGTGTGCTACTACACAGCCAGTAAGACAGATGGAATTGAGATAATACTCCTCTGGTGAACCCTGATGTTTGAAAACAGACAGGCAGACAGGCATTCATAGGGAGGGAGTGTGAAAGCAAGTAAGGAGGAGACCGGGGAACTGACCATTCATGCAGGAACGGATGAGCACAGACACAGAGGGTGTTATTGGATTGTACAACTCAATGGGACAAACACAAATCACAGCATAATGTGACTTAGCCATGGGAACTCCATGGCTCATAAAATAGCCACGATAAATCAGTCGCCTTGAGTTTTCCCTGCCCACAAAGCCTGGTAGCATGGGGACACTATGTGAGACACACCTGTCCCTTGGCTATGCCTCCATTGGTCTGTCCAGGCAAGCGGGGGGGGGGGGTTGGAAGAGAAGCAGGAATTTGATGCGTCAAAGCTTTCAGCTACTGGTACTCCCAAGCACAAATAATCGTACTGAATCTGTAAGCATGTGTGCTACCTGTCCAATGCCCACGTCGAAGTATTCATAGTCTACAGCACTGGTGACAGATTGCTCCCTATGGAACTGGTACTGCTGCGCCGTCAGTCCCGAAGATTGGTCACCGTCTTGATCACTGGTCGTTTGGGGTTGAACTTGCAACCCTGGTGCCAGACACACTGTCCCTGTCTTACAATCCTGTGTAGAGTGAGAAATACAAAAATGCTTATTTGATGGCCATGTAGAAAAATACACATAAAAACACAACATGATGAAAAGCCACCAGCAGGGAAATGAATCCACATTTGTTTGACCATATAAAATTGGAGAGGAACTTGGGATAGTTTTTGCCCATGTCTGACCGCTGGAAGCCATTTCCTCTTGATGTAGTTCAGGATCTTCTTCCGAGGTCCAAGAGGGATTCCTAAAACTTTGAGATCACTGTCATGGCAAAGAGCCTAAAAGAAGAGAAACATACGTTTTTAACTATGAATTACACTTGAATTTGCATGCCCACTGTGTGTGTGTGTTACCAGTGATTCTAGGTCAAGGTTTTCTGCCTGCAGTGTATCCAGGTATTGCTGCAGGCCCAGTCTGGTCAGAGTCTGCTCCAGTGTGTCACCGTTCAGACGACACGGCTCACCAGAAGGTACCTTGAGCACATAGAGACAGAATAGGAAATCAATTGTCTTATGTACATACATAGAAATATGCAATAATTTTAGCAGTATACTGATCTTTTACTATGACTGTCATCGTACCCCCTCTCTGGCTTCTGATCCAGTCCTCTGATTGGTTAGCAGGTCAAATAGGATCAGTGAACCTAAGGAGACAAAGTGGACAAGTTGAAGCTTTTTTATGTTGCACTTGTTTGTGGCTATGTGTATGTTTCTGCATCTCTAACCCAGGCTATGGCCGACTACTGAAACTGCCCCGTTGAATTCTGGGTGTCTCTGTTTAAAGAGGGAGTGCAGCCTGTTGATCTCTGAGGCCACTGTGTCCACTATGGTCTGGCAGTAGGTAGGGCTGTTATAGAAAAACAGGTCCAGCAGAGTGTCATTGGTGAAATGTCTCAGCCTGCTGATGCTGGGAAGAGTGATCCTCTGGATGTCCCTGAAATCAGAGAAAAAGAGAGAAAATAAAATGCAGGTAGCCAGAGTCTGACAACTTTCAGCAAGTAATGAAGACATAAGTATTGTAGAACAGGGGAATCTTTTTTGTACACTCTCTATCTCTCTTCATACGTACTCATCCACACCAGTGGCATCCCCATGTAGAGCACTGTGCCAGTTGACTGGGAGGAACTCAACTCTGCCCACCTGGCCATCCTGCTGAGCACGTTTATAATGAGAAGCCAGGAGGGACAGGGAAGCACTCCTGAAGTCATTTACTGGAGAGAGATAAGATGACAAGGTGTCATAAATACATATAAATATATGCATATACATAAATAATAAATATACACACACACCTACCACACTGTATGATGGATCTGAAGCGCAAGTCACACGCAGGGCCGATGCCATGCACCATAAAGACAAGGTGGTCCACCTTTTCTGGTTCACCTGGGAACACAGAATTATGATGAGCACTCAAGTGTTGACTACAGGTTATACTTTCTGAATTTGGCTTTTATTCCACATTCCTACACATATACCATCAAGTATTTCCACAGAGATGTTGTCCACTCCCCTCTTTACTGTTCGAGGTCGGGTCTGCTCTGAGGGGGAAGACACCCACTCATCCTGCAATCCTATTGGCTGATACTGCATTATCAGCTGAGTGAGGAGTAGGGAAATGAAAGAGAGGAGGACTTATGAGAGGAAAACAATGAACCTAATTTAAAAAATACATATTAACTTGTGGTGTGGCTTTGTCATGTATTTAATTATGCTGTTCATGGTGATATTTTAACATCAGGCCTTACTTTGGGATTGTGTAAGATAACAGTCTCTCCAGTGGGAAACTCCAGTTTCCTCTTCCATTCGTCCAAGGTGACTGCGATCATATAAGCCTCCTGAAAAATTGGAGGATGGGTGGGGGAGAAATCAAAGACCAACAAATGAAAAGAGTAACTGAGGCACAGACAAAGTTAGGAAGAGAACATAGTCAAAATCTGAAGGAATGAGCGGTGTGGTGGTATAAGCTCAGTGTCGGTGTCAGACTACCTCCAGACTTTGGCTGAAGTCCTCAGGGTAAGGCATGAACCTGGTGTCTTTATCTCCTTTGTAGAACCAGGTACAGCGACGGACTTCAGTGGGACCTTGCTCCCAGTACACAGCGTAGCGCTTCCTCTCTTTGACATGTACGTCATACCGCTCTCCATCCACGGCTACCACCACCTCCTCCTCCTTGTCTCCTCCTGCAAAGTAACCATACATAAATAGGTATAAAACCAAAAGCAAAGGTTCTACAAGGACAAGTGAGTACAATAGTGTTGTGCTAAAGTGCTTTAGATTTGTTAGATTTGTTCCCTGATGTTCTAGATATTTGTGTTAAATGCATGGAGGAAAACGGTACATGAAATAATTATTTATGGGAATGCAAAAGGCTACAATGATTCTGGAGAACGGCTGATGAATGAATGAGACATATGACTGGAAAATAAGTTACTTTTCAAGCTAAAATCTGTTGAGAATTTACCCACAAGACTACATTGTTACTTTGCAGCAATCACTGCTCACTGACTGTGGACTTCTGCAGCAGCATCATCAGGAGGCTAAGTGCAGTCTTCTGGAATATTATGGACATATTTTACCCTCTATCGGGCTGTGGGCAAAAACACTGCCACCCTGTCTCACATTAGAGAGACTTATATTGTCACAGAGAAAGACAAGAAGTCAAGTCAAGTCAAATTTTATTTATATAGTGCCAAATCATATCTCAGGGTATTTTTCATAAAGAGCAAGTCTAGACCGTGCTGCTTTTTTATTGCTTTATATGTTTACATGAGGTATGTGTGTGATTATTAATGTAGATATTCAATATGTTAAAGGCGTAGTCCTGCACATAACCTTCTGTAAAACCACAACACAAGACTTTTACACTTTGTTTTTGTTTTTTATGGATTAAACACATGAGATACAACATGTTAATTGCTGAGCTTCGGAGGTGCTGTGAGGTGGATTTTATTACTTTGGAAAGGGTCAGACCAGCTGCTTTAGCTTTTTCTCCCATTTTCAGTCTTTAAGCTAAGCTAACCAGCTGCAGGCTGTTGCTTCATATTTACTGTATAGACATTAGAGTGATATTTATCTTCTCATAATGTCAAGTATTCATTTAAAATTCAAATCAATTTTATCTAAAACATATTTTCAAAATAAGGGATCTTTCTTTTTAAACAGCCCTTTCAATTATAAGTGAAAGCATGAATGTCAACACTGAATGAATGTATTTTCTTTTTTCTTTTTTTTTTTTTACAAAACTACTCTATATTGACAATAAAACCTAAAACCTCCCTGAAACTAAACATCAACTTGCCGTTAAACTGCTAGTAACAGTGGGCATGTCCTGTCAAGAGAGTAAAGTGCCCTAGTGGGCATCAGGCCATGGTTGGCAACAGTATTATTTTGACATTTTATCCTTCTCACTGCTGTTTATAGCAACTCATTCCTTTCTTTTCACAGACCTACCCTGATAATCCATTTCAACAAAACACATATGTACAGTATACAGTATAATGTACAAGTAAAATATATACACCCCCTCACCAGTGTCGAAGGCCCTTTCTAGTTTCTCAGAGTCTTCTATGCTGAAAGGAAGCCAGGAGGTGCTGTCATCGGCCCGTCGACAGAAGAACCAGTGAGGCTGCACTTCTTGGTAAGGAGCTGGGACCGACTCCATGTCAAGCATCTCAAAGGAGGATGTGGAAGAAGGAGAGGCCTCATCCACCACAGGCACCACCTGGAAAAAATTGTACCAGCACAGTCAAGATGTTAAATCAACATTTCTTCTTCATGTCAGCAATATTGCTCAGTTACCTGGTAAAGTTAAATGCCTGCTCTATACACTTAGAACAGCTCACCATTCACCTCTGCAGTTTCCAGAATAAGTAAATAGTGAAGTCTGAGCTAAGTCTGCACTCTTCTATTAAGCTCCTATCGAGGAACCTGAGACTATCAGACAAAGCAAAGGACAGTCGGACAAAAAAGGATCAGGCCTCCTCTTGGACGGAAGCACAAAGCCCTGTTTTATTCTTTCCTCCTCTACAAGCTATCTCTTGTCTCCTCTTCTTTCCACTACTGATACAGCTACAGCTACAGCTGTATCAGTATTGCATCTACTTCCACTGAATATCTTACATTGACAAACAATGCTGCCAGTAATACTTTTGGTACTCCTGCTGGCCCTGTGTCATTGTGTTGAAAGAAAAGACAAAGCTTGATACTGCTAGATACAACAACCAACTCCCACATGACACACAGGAGCCAAATCAGCAATCCAATTTGGAATGTAATGTGCAAGACTGAAAATAAACTGGAATGTGAACGGAGAATCATTCCTAGGAATAAAATCAGTTTATCTTCTTGTGAGCAATTCCTTCCTGTTTGTGCACTGCTCAGCACGTTTGCAACTTCAGACTTTATACAGTATAGTATATTAAACCATAATGTGATTCGTAATACTCGTAATACCCAGGTATGTGTATGTTTCTAGCTTATCACTTACAAGAGGACACACACTGACTCTAGCTTGCGACACCATGCTGGTTTTATTGTCTCCTTCGGTCTATGTGCTGTGTCTAAAAATTTACAATGTGTGAACACCTTAAAGAAGAACAGTAAGTGGCTTCCGTCAATAGCCTCCACAAGCTCACCATTTCTGCCCTGCCCTACTAATATTCAAAAAGGGGAAAAGAATGCATTTCTGCCCGAGAGGACAGGAACAGCACAAACAATCACTTTGTACTTTCTCATTTGTTCATCAGATTCCGTAAGCAGTGAATGGTTTTTCTAAAGCCTTGTTTGGTGGCACATTGCAATGAATCACATATGCACCTTTTCAAATTCATTATCACTTGAAGAGAGAATTTGGTTTCTAAGTATTTCAGAACTGACATGGCCTTGAAATTGTGCAAGATGTCATAGCTTGTTGTACAGAGGTACAATGTTACTTCTATCAAACTGTCAGTGGTTGCTTATAACTCCCAGGGCTTCCCTGATCACAGACCAGCCTAGTCCAGGACTGAAACAAAAACCTTATCACAGATTAAGGTCTTTCTTAACACATGTGAACGTTTCTTGTTATACACTAACAATTTATCAACTTTTCTTGTAATGAAAATAGACCATACTACTCTGTGCAAAGTATGCACAACGTAACTTGGCCTGTCCTGTCCAGTTTTTCATCATTTTGTTTTCCCCTTAACCTTTGAACCCAACCCTAATCACAACCAGTCACATCTGTGATGCCTAACTAGAACCTAAATCCTTTAAATCCCGTTTCCTACTGGAAAAAGGCTTTGTCATTCAACAATGTTACACTCACAAATCAAATCACAAAATCACACATGCACCCTCACCTGATCCTCAGGTGTTTTCCCTGTAGCCACAGTCTGAGTGGGGTTGTCAAACAAGTCTTCTGTGTTGACGTTAGGGGCAGCCTGAGATAGACCCCCCTCCTCACCAGGACTGAATGACATTAGCCCAAGACCAGACCCCAACCCTCAGCTCTGACCCGAGGGGGGGGCAAGGGGAGGGCACACAAACACAGGACCTGCAACAACCCAGCTGCACACTGATCGAGAGCAAACAGGGGGCTGAAAGACCATCAAACTATTAGTTACATAACATGCAATGCCTGTCAAACTCACTTTCAATTCACTTTCTATTTACTTGTATCAGAGCATCATAGATGGTGCGATATAAAGACAAGCCAGCTCTGAGGAAACCCTGGCAGTTGTTTCACCAATCACTAATGTTTAAGTGGTTAAAGCAAATTGAAAATGTAAACAGGTTAATGTGTCAGCTAACGCTAACCGTTAATGGCTGTAATTAAGAGTTCTGCTGATGTATTTGTGAATTTCTTGACATTATCTTGAACAAAACTAGCTAATGTTAACGGTTAATTCTCTAGTTTTTGTTAATTTTAAGAATGTAACAAATACTTCGTAGAGGCCAAAGGTACTTGGTTGGGGTTCATGCTAGCAGAGTTATGATGGTTGAACGGGACACTAGTGTTAAGTTCTCCGTTCTCACATCCTATTGGGTGTTTTGGACGTTACAGAACTAGTAAGAGACAGTTGTTAACTTAGACTCACCGACAACTTCACATACATGCAGATGATTTGTTTATGCAGAGGATTTGTTTTCGTTGTTTAGCTCGCTCTGGATAGCTCGGCTAGCCAAGGACAGCCTCCTGTCAAACGCTGCGCGGTTCGTGTTTTCTCGGAAATGTGACGATTGAGAGATTAACGTTCACAAATGACCACATTAACCGTCAAATAAAATGTTTTGAATAAATACGATTCTACGAAGAGAGTTAGCTGTGATGCCTGAGCTTTCAACGTGTGAATATTAGAGGGCGAAACACGTGAACACAGCGTCCATTTTCAATAGAAAAAAATATTCCTAATAAACAAACAATATCGTACGTTTTCTTCAGCTAAGTATTCAGCTGTAAGAGTAATTATAACTCAATTTTATTTAGACTCAAACGGCCTTCGTAAACACCCCCCATGGTGCAAAAGAACGGAACTTTATGCGTAAAACTTAAAATTTACAAGGGGCACTGTAAGGCACCACGAAACACCACAGCGTCACCAGGCCGCCTCCCCCAAATGTTGACCCGACGTCATGAATTTGCAGACGTACAAATGAGGATTGGAAAACAAAACGTATTTAGTTGACAGTTGCTGTGTATTAATGTTCCGCACACATTCAGTTACACATCGTAACTTACTCATTCAGTGTCTTATGATCACACATATGATTAGATAGATTAATACCCATGAGCAGATACATGTTTTCCAGCTGACAGACAGTTGAAACCAGGCTCTAACATACTGTAAGTGTTAGTTGGAATGCCATGTTAAGGTCCAACCTTTTTGTAAAGGCCTCAGGTTTATTTCATGACATTCACCTGTTCAACCTAATCCAGAAATCTACCCAGGTATGTGTACAATGTGAACACAGTGAGTGTAGGCCTCTTAACAATGAGAGATCAATCACATCATAACACACAGACACACCCATTTGTCTCATGATTGTATTTTCAGCTAAATCTGACTTCTATCAATAGTCAAGAGTGTTACATAGAAAATACAGCCATTTTGAGAAACTTAGAAAATTAGAATACTACTTAATTATGTTCCTGTTTTTACCATTGAAAATGTGTATATGGATAAACTAAATGAACCCTGTCATTTGTGACATGAAATGCTTGATGTTAGAAGCAGAGTGGTTGGTCAAACCACTACCAAACCAACTGTGTGCTTAAACCCCCTTCTCCTCCAGGGTGTATGGAGAGGGAGAGAGAGAGAGAGAAAGAGAGAGAGGGAGAGGGAGAGGGAGGGAGGAGTGAAACATGCCAGGGGAAGGAAGAGTGAGTAGAGCTACAACACACTGACACACCCAGTCCAACAAACTGTGAGACACATGCAGGGAGTAATGAGTCTGTGTGGAGCAATAAGAGGGTGTGGCCTTTTCACACAGGGAGAACAGATAAACTGAGTTTGCCTTGTAGAAAGGGGCAGGAGTCACAGTCCTGAACAGACAGCCACTTACTTTCACTCAGCTGGGCTCACAAGCAATCCAGCTGCACATATCCACTCACTCTCTCCCTCACTTTGTGCACTCTTCCAGCAGTTTGAGGCAAGACACTGAGGGGGGAGCAACTTCCAGAACACAGAAGTGAAAACACAAGAGGAACGCTCAAGAAAAAAACTTCGACAGTCAGCCATGAGGGACAAAGTGAGGAGAGGAGGAAGAAACCAGGCCAAAACTGGTGAGAAATCCCTGCGATGTGTTTTCCTCCTCTGCTCCTCTCTCTCTGTCTCGCTTTTTGCTCTTTCCTCTTCCTTCTTTTTTCGTCTGGTGCCTCCCTCGCTGCAGAATGTGAGGAGGGTGGGAGATTTAGCACTGCACTGCTGCTCTGAACTTGCTACTTGCCTGTGCTATTCGCTGTTCTCACCAACTTTTTAACCACTTGGAGAATGTGCTTTTAACTTTTATTGTGAATTTATTCGCACAGACAGAGTTAGTATCAAATCTGAAAAAGCTCTAGAAAAACTGTTAATACTCAGTTACACTCCTTTAAGAAGGACAAAGAGTAGATTTTGTTTAAATCCCTGCGTACCTTTTCCTGCTCGTCATCCAAATTAAAAAATCTTACACATATAAGTTCCCACTACCTTTGCTTGCATTGTAATTGATTCACCTTTTGCCAAACTCTCAAGTGGGCCTCTCAACCTTTTTTAACCTTTGCCACTCCCCTTTAACAAGACAGAATGATTGAATCAAGGTAAGGCGTTTACCACCCCCCTGTATATTATATATTTATATATGCACATCATTGTCATTTTGAGGAACTCATTATCAGGGCTGAAATGAATGCTGTTCCCAGTTGTAGTAAGGCAGTAGCTCCAATAGAAAAGGGGCTGATGGCTCTAAGCTCGAAGCGAGGAGGGGCCTTCCTCCAGCCAATCACAAACAGAGAAACTATTTTTTGGGTGCTTTCCAGTGGTAAAGTGGTCCCAGACTGACAGCAAGAACTGGGGATTTACTGTGGAATGAACTACAGTCTTCAGAGATGAGTGCCAAGTGAAATTTTCTGCTTTGCTATGTATATGTCAAAGGTGTCATATATACATTATGTGCATGCATCCATGCAAGGTAGCACGCTCTACTGCGAAGTTGTAGGTTTGTTAGTTTATGTGCTGTAACATTCTGCTGTCTAAACATGCCAGCGCCGGGTGTGGTTGACCTTTTTACTCTGAGATGACATGAGGGCCAGTAGGCAAATTCAACAGGTTTAGTCACACTGCAGGTTGAGGAACACGCTGGGTCCTGCTCTACCTCTGGTTCTGCCAGTATGTGTGTAAAAAAGGCGGACACACCCCACTTTCCCTTTCTTTGACATGTTTTTTTGCATAAATTCACTCTCACCCTCAGGCACTCTCACACACAGACTCCTCAGTCCAGCGCGTCATCATGTTAGATGACTCTGCCACAAGAACAGAACTGAACATAATAAGCAATGATTATAATTCATTCATTCATTCATTCAGTTATTCATCCATCTTTCTATAACAACTTCAGTCCCTTTCAGAGTGAGCTGGAAACTATCCCGGCATATAATGAGTGGAAGGCAGGAAAGCAACCCATATTATTTGCTTGTCCTTTGGAGGGCTCTGTGATTATCCTCAGTTTGTTTTGTTTTTCTTACTTCCCCTTCAAACAGATGTAATCAGCGTGACTGGTGGAAAGAATGCTGTTGGTATTAAGCAAGAAGAGGACACATCATTCCCTGTGAAGATCCAGGGAGCTGGAGTAGAGCCGTTTGAGCTGCAGGTATAAAACTGGACTGATATTTCCTCTTAGATGTTGTTCCCTATCTTTTTTAAGTGTAAGAAGATTTCATAAATAATTTGATAAAAATGAAATCCAACAGGCATAGCTGAGCATACATATTTATAACAATTCCATTCTTTATCTTGTGTTGTATCTTTAATTTTTGATAGTGCAGAACCCTTACAGTGCTCAGTTGACACATATATTTTACTCATATGTTCTTCCACTACAGGATCTATTTTTCTTATATAGTATATATATATATACAGTATATATCGTATATGTAGAATACTGTAGCTCCTGTCAGTGTGAATGTTTAATGTAATGCCTGAAATACTCTGTGTTGTTTTATCCATATCTTTCTGTGTATCACAGGGACTGTCCCCATACAGTAGATACCTGAATTTTCACCCAATTGGCAGGTTTATATGTGGATATTACTTAGTGTGTTACACCATGTATCTCTGTAGGTCCATGGATTTTGGCTCGTCCAGGACGCAGTAATGACCCTGCTTTCAAGGGATGAGGTGTGTCCTCGCTCCAACTTGTCACTGGCACTAGCTGGAATGACTCTGGATCCCCTGGCAGAATTACAAAGTCTCAAGGGCCTTAAACCAGGAGCCATTGTTCGCCTTGTGGAAGGTAGCAACCTTTTTTCTGTTTTTTTTTCTGGTGTACTTTTTTTTTTTTTATAGCCAATTAAGTGAAATCAAGACAAATGTAATTTGTCCCAAGAATTCTTTTTTTAATTTAATCATTTTTCCAGTCGCTTGAACCCACTTTCTTCTGATTTGTAATTAATGACTGATTTATTATGGGTAGCAAATCTTATTTGCACTGTAGCACAATTAGACTTGAAGGATTAGGATTTCTGTAAGAATAATCCTATCCATATTTTCATCACACTCTATCCTTTTCACACACACTTCAGTCTCTCTCAAGTCAATGTAAACAGCTGACTCACCTTTTTTGAGACACCATAACAAGGTTTATGGCTGCAGAGATTTATAGCTGCAGAGATTACAACTGTGTGCCAACCAATTAGTCTGTCTCTCACCTTCTGGCTATTGAAATACTGAAACAAACTCTCATGTAGCTCATTTGTTCGTACCTACAGTATGCACTCTGATAGATTTGTGTCTAAGAAATATGCATCATTGATTAATAAAAACTTGATGTTATCAGACCTTTGCCAAATTGCTATCAATTTCATAAAGTCTGAATTTTGTGTTAACCAGTATATATTTCTTTCCAGAGCCCTACACTGCCAGCTCAGCCAGGCTCCATCTGGCTCGTGTCCTGGAGCTGCTGAGAGCGTCTGGACCTCAGGATGCATTGAGAGAAGGACGCTCACCAAGCCTACTGGAGACACTCACACATACACAAACACCAGGTACACAGACACACACACACACACACACACTCACACACACACACACACACACATACACACACCAACACACTGTGCACTTAAACAAGAGGGAAACACAAAGCCACAAAGTAGCATGTAAATTATAGTGAAATCTTTCTTTTTTGTCACTGGTGCAGACTCCAGCTTACCGAACGGAAAGAACCTGAAACGCTCTTTAAGCAACACGAAAACAGAATCAACCAACCAGGATGGAGCTCCACCTGAGTACCTCCTCCCTGGTTCCTCAGACAGACCACTTATGGCTCTCCTACCACATAGCTCCCAGCCAGAGGTACGTACTGTAAATACCTGGAATCTGTTTGAACACTCTGCTTGTTCACCCAAACAAACACACAGACACACTGACTCTCTGTCACTTTATATTTGTGTCGTCAGGCCCCCAGTTACCTGAGGGACCTGTCTCTCAGCTGCTGGAACCCACCTCCAGGACACAGGAAGCTGCAGGGAGACTTCCTGTACATCTCTGTGGTGACAATGGAGGGACGACGATTTGACATCACATCTTGTCCAAAAGGTTTCTTCCTCAACAGGTAAAGAACATCGTGATATTTAATCAAACTCTCTGCAGTATATTACTTGACTCCCTTGTCAAAGTAACATGCTTCGGCACTCCTGTATACATAGACGATATAAATAACTAAACTTACCCTGATCTATGTTTTAGTTTAATTAAGAATTCTTTTCTCTTTCCCTTTCTTCATCTCAGGTCTACAGAAGATGTTTTTGATCCTCGTCCTGCACAGTCTTCTCCAGTTTGTCACTGTTTCACTGACCTGCTCTGCCACATCAGCCCTGCCTTCAAACAAACGTTTACTACACTCAAAACCAGGTAACGCTGTTACCTGTGCATAAAGGAAGCACAAATACTACAGTGTCTTGCCAGAATCCCAACAGTGGGTTTTGTATATTCCAAAATTCCAATAATTAAAATGATTTAAAGTCATAGACCAAAACAATGTTGTTGAATTAAAATTACTGTAAGTGAAGGAGATCGTGGATAATGCATCTTGCTGTCTTTCCTCCTTTAGGCCTCAGTTACCACCAGTAGAGGTGATGCCCACTCCTTACCACACGCTGAGCTGGCTCGGTCCTATCTGTGCCTCTCGCACTCACAAAAACACCTTCAGCAGACTGGGAATGGATGAACAGGCAGCAAGACAGGTTATTTACAACAGAGGACAAGTGTTAGCTGGTATTCACTGCAGTTTGCTGCTGGAAGTGGTATTGAGTGTAACTATGTGCATGATTATGTGTGTGTGCGTGTGTGTGTGTGTGTGTGTGGTTAATGTGTAGGCTCCAGACTGGAACGAGGAGTTGCAAGCAGCCAGAGATCTCCCACAGGGCAGTCTGGAGGAGAGGCTGCAGAGAGACAGAGCTCTGATCCAGGTAACCATTAAAAGCTGTAATGTAGCTCAAAACAGCAGCAGGACAGTTCAGGAATACATTATCACCAGCTTTCTTTCGTTTGTTCACCCATTTTCTCCTCTTCTCACCTTCTTTCATACCTGTTTTCTCTCAGGTGAACAGTGCATTTGTGAGGGCTGTCATGCAGGGGGCAGAGACTGTTGTAGATGGCTTTGTGGAGCCAGTAAATGGAAACCCAGAGGACCCAGCTTTCCTGTGGGGGGGCCTCTTCATGAGCCAGGGGGCAGCGAGTGCAGTGTTTGGTGGGGAAAGAGGTCGCAGGTAAGAGCGAACCACAAAAGAAAAGACAAGATATTATAGAAGTAAAGTCATTTGCTCTCAATTATATGTGAGGGTTTAATAAAGTACACTTTGTCCCCATGCTGTGTCCAATAAAAGGATTATAAAAAGAGTGGTGCAGACTATTTAAATGTTTCCTCATCTTCTTCTTGCAGGGCAGCTCAGAGGCTGGAGCTTAAAGGAGTACAAGCCTACAGTGACCTAGAGGGGCTGGAGGGGCTGCACACACTACCTACAGCCGTTGTAGACTACAGAGGTGTACGTCTATCTGCGCAGGGTTTGGCCCCCGGCTTGGAAGGCTCAGAACAGGACCAGGGAACTGCTCCTGCCTCAAGGTACACCCACAGAGGACCTGACAACAAACTGTGTTTGACATTCTTGTGCTTTTCTGCTAACATCTTTCTCCTTCTTGTCTTCAGAGGCTTGCTGTACGGGATAAATGCAGGACCCCAAGAGTCTCCTGATCGCAGACGGCTACTAGCGCTCCTGGCTAGTGCTGCCAAATCTCTTTCTCTCCAGAGACATGTAGTTGTTGTGCAGGACAGTCACAAGGTCCCACTGTTCACTTCAGTGGATGCTCAGGGACTGTTGGGAGCTGATGGGAGGTTCTACATACTGGATGTGTTCAGGAGCTTCCCAGCTGATGCCAACTTCTGCCCAGAGGCAGAGACAGAAAGTCAGACAATCACTGGAGAAGAGGAGAGGAAAGAAAGCTGTGAAGAGGATGAGGAGAAGAAGGGTTGTGTAAAAGAAGGTTGGCCAGAGAATTATCACACAGACTCTGGGCTTCCAAAGAGCTTTCCTCACGGCCTCTGTAGACTGAGGCCAGAGCTGGTGCAGGCTTTCATCCAGCACAAGTGAGTTCTACATGAAACAAAACACTTTTAATCTCCACCTTTTTTGAGTTTTTTTTCACAAAATTGAAGTTTTGTTTTTTGCTTGTTTTAGACACTGTCAGTTCACTCAGCGTGTCAGGGAGACACTGGATGAGAATGGAGGCTTTGAAGAATGTGCAACAGCTTGTAAGAAGTGCTTTGATAGATCTAATGGAACAGCAAACTTATAGTTACTACCTACAGTACTTTTATTTTATATTTTATTCTTGACAAATGTTTTTATTCTTGCAGGCGACTCTCGAGCCACCAATGCAGTGCGAGCTGCTTGTAAAGACGTGGGCTCAGTTAGTGACATCATCTTTGAGATGCGCTTTAACCCAAACATCTTTTCCCCAGGTATTCAGAGAAACTACACACTCACACACATGCACAGTCACATCATTTGCTAGAAAACAATATCACATGCTTCCTGTGCCCTGCCTTTAGGAGTATCCTTCCCTCCTGGTGAAAGTGCGTCGACAAACCTGCAGGAGAGGTTACTGAGGGAAGCTGCAGCTTTCATCACCACGCACCAGATACCAGCCTTTGTAAGTGGATCCATGGTTAACATGCTTTAATAGACACATGTTGTGAAAAAATGAAAATGAAAGAAGTTCATCACATGTGTGTACGTTTGTACATGTTTGCAGGTGGAGTATTGCCTACAAAGCTATGAGGCACCAATGGATGGAGCTTCTCTAAAGCAGGCACTACACCAGCGAGGCATCAACCTCCGGTATCTGGGCCATGTGATCAAGGCCATCAGCCAGTCAGAGCACAAGGAACGCCTGAGACATATAATGGTGTGTTTTATTTACAAAATAGCCAATCTTAAACTCGTCTTAATGATCTAACCACTCTCTTAACTGTGCTTCCTTTTTTCCCTCTTTCTGTGTTCAACAGAGATCGGTCATAGGTGACATTTTTATCCGCTCAACAAGAAGAGTGTTCAACAGTTTCCTCCAGGTACTTTACAGTATTCTGTTAAGAGCATTCCTTTGTTTGCACACCTCAAAGCTGGGGGGGGGAAGAGCAGCAGGTTTGAGTCTACACACTCCAGAAAGAATGAACTGTAGCCTCTGGTCATATCTTTGCAGGGTGTGGATGTGCCTAGTCTCTCCGCAGCTGTCAGTCACTTCCTCTGCTGCCTATTGGTTCCCCACTTCACGCCCACTCCTGTCGGGGAGGAGACTAAAAAGAAGTCAAGGCGGCGTGGCCGAGGGGCTGGGGCCTCTGAAAGCACGCCGTGGAGCACGCTCACTGGGGCTGAGCTGTGGAACCTGGTTTGCCAGGATGCTGCTGAGACATACGACATCACTGACAGCCTCGGGTGAGGACCCAGCCATTGTTTGTTCTCACTTCGTGTTTGTTAGTACAAAGGCTTAGTGTCAATTTAACAATAACTGTCATTTTTCTCCGTGGTAGCTCTGGACCAAACCACCTGGCAGAGCACTATGGCCTTCAGAAGCTCTCTCTGCTCAGACAGTTCTGTTTAAAGACCGGAGTACAGGTAACAGACATCTGAAATATGATTCAGTATGTTAGCAACCTCTTAAATTAACCACTTTATCAATTGAAACACATACGTATTAGTAATGTTTTAATATACGCTGAGTTGTAATTGCAAAATTAGCTGCCAGATAAAATTATGAGAAGATATACTGTATAATAAAAGGAGAAAAATATCTTTATCAATAAATTGTTTGTTAATTCTGCGTCTACACCAGTTGAGACTGAGGGACTACTTCCTCGACAACCAAAGTAAAGCTCCCATTGGTCCAGACGACATCCTCAACATCCTCCCTGTTGTCAAGCACATTCAAATGCCAACTGCGGATGCTTCAAAAGCATACGGTGCTGCACAGAACTCCATTCAAAAAGGTGGGTCAATAAAACTGGACAATAATCTTTATGATCAATATATGTTTTTTAACTGAATCTAAATGAAAAGTCAATTCTGTGCAAACCTGTTGTGTGTTTCCCAACTGCAGGTCTGCTGGATCAGGCCCATGAGCAGCTCAAAGAAGCAGCCTACTTGTTTGGTAGGGTGTGTGATGACCTGCACCCCGAGGCCTGTTATTGCCACAGCCTGCTGGCCAGGGTGGCTTTCCTGCAGGGAAAGACAGCAGAGGTAGGCTTATTGCTCCATATTTCCTCAAAGCTATTCTATTGGCAAAAACCATCGTTACTTTTCAGTGGTGGAAAGTAACTAAGTGCATTTATTCCATTACCCCTCAGTTATTGTTTAAGGTACCTTACTTGAGCATTCCCATTTCCTGCTACTTTGCAGATTCAGATTTTTCATACAAAACAAATGATCAGTATGTAAAATATGAGTGATTACTCTCACCAGTACATTATGTATACACATATACACATAAATTAGTTACAATCAGCTATACCTCAGTCAATCAAAATGCTACGTATGTGTCAATGCATCAACAATCAGTGAATCAATTGAACAAAATAATAGATTATATTAAAACACTATAAAAGAGGCCATTCTTCATCATGATCAGAGCCTCTCTTCTGATTGGCTGACTGTTTTCTGAGTGATCCAATAAAAATATAGCAGATTTCAGCTAAACACTCAGAGAAACCAAATCCTGCAATGTTGGACGGTGAGTCCAGGGGGGCCAGGTTTGGGGCATAGCTGAGGGCAGTGACTGTAGAGTTGTGACATCACACAGTTACACAAAGTCCTGACAGCTTGTTTTAAGACACAATTACTGAATATGGGCCTTTCTCTGTGAACTCAGCGCTTTAATATTTTGACAGAATTAATATAGCACCTAGACCTGCTTTTTCATAAATAAAAAGACATGGAAATCTCACATTGTACAACATGGGGCCTATAAGTCTTCCACCTCTGCTATTATGTATGTCAGTGTGCTCTAACTCTCTGGAAATGGTTGATGTGTATGCATTTCCCAATGTATTAACTGGATTCTAATTTTAATGTATGTGTAGCTGGTTATTACTCTCTTCTCATCACTGTGACTTCCTCTGTTCTCCAGGCTCGCAGTATCCAGCTGAAAGCAGTGGTCATCAGTGAGAGGGTGCTGGGCTTTGACCATCCAAACACTATCCAGCAATATGTGAGTATAGCTGCACATTTATATCATACATTATGTACTTCATCACGTGGTTGAATTGCAATTATCATCATATCATTATGTTTTATTTTTAGACCCTCTTGGGTCTGTATGTGTTCGCTGGAGGAGAGACCGCCCTGGCTCAGAAGTGTCTCCTCAGAGCTCGTCTACTGACGCTGACAGTCCACGGAGAAGACCATCCCTACATCGCAACACTGGATGTAGGTTGCAACACCTTAATGATAATCACTTCAACCTCTACTGCCATCCCAAGCTCAAAACAAAAGTGTTTCACTATGTAATACAACAAGAAACAAGTGGACAACATCCACTTTTAAAAAAAAATGACAGCCCTCTCACCGTTTCCCCATAGAGCTGTCTTGGGTTGGTGCTGACAGGGGAGCAGACAGGGCAGTACCTAAAGAATGCCCTAAGACTTAACACTTCCTTCTTCGGCCCCATAGACTTGCATACAGCTCTCAAGTAAGTTATCATTTATCACTTGCACTGATATTTTGTAGAGAAGATCTGCAAAGTTTTGTCTCATTTTTCCAACATCATCTCCGTTTCTCTCCCTGGTTTCTTGTCTGTGCAGTCAGCACCTGTTGGCCCAGTGGCTGTGCAGTAAGGGGGACTACAGAAGTGCTATGACTCATGAGAAAGAGGCCCTCACTGCATTTACCTCCTTGGTCAGTATATCTTTGTTTGAGACGGAGCAAGAAAAGTGGAATGGTTGTGCGTGTGTGTGCGTGTGTGTGTGTGTCTGTTATCTTATGGCTATTTTCTTTCAGTTTGGAGAGGATCACCCACAGACACGCTCCAGCAAAGAGTTTCTGTGCACCATTACCAAGCAAGCGGTGCAGGTGGAACGCTCTCTCAGACAGGCAGGAGCTGACTGCACGGAGCAAACAGTGGAGGTAAGCCCAGGAGCTCAGGTTGTCTGAGACCTCTGAAACCTCACTGAATATTAAGAAGAAGAAATTGGGAAATGTGTTTGTTAAGCTCACTGTCCTCCATGTCTTTAGTGTCTGACTCCCACAACTGATACCATTTTGGAGCAGATGGTTCTGGTGACAGGAATCAGGAAGATCACACGAAGGTAAATCTCACTGATATATATGATGTAAAATGTCTAAAACTTGCTGAATGTGTTGATGCTAAAATGTAGGTCGATCCATATTGGATTTTTGAAGCTGATACTGATGGCAAAATCTTTAAAAATCCAATATTGACAAACTGGTCAATTAAAACACATTATATAAACAAATATTCATTAAGGGTCCCTTAAATTAGTTTTTAAAGAATTGTGACCGATATATGTTCTGATTTGAACATAAATCAGAACTCTCTGGTGAAGTAATAGTGATACTGTTTCAAGCTTACTTTGGCAGTTCTTTATTGTAACGTCTTGTTACTTATCAGCCAACAAATACACAATAACTGCTATATTTGGGATGAGCTCTAAAAGTATCCCATTTTCTTTGGTTCTAGTGTATGTCTTCTTTCTATTCCTCTCCATGCTGAAAATGAACAAAAAAAGTAAATAGTGAATAGGAATCTGATTTGATGCAGAATCTGCAGGATACCACTCATGAATTTATTGTGTTTTCATAGCGACAGGCTCCAGGAGTATAAGCAGAAACACCTGGAACGAAAGCTAGCAGCGGCAAAAGAACTGGGAATCAAACTACCTAATGAGCTCTTCGCCTCAGAGACTGTGAACGTTGAAGAGAAAGGCTCAGGTCAAGAAACAGGATGCGGGAAGGAAGCTCAGGATGGAGGAAGCCCAGCAGTGGAGAACAGCAGCGAGAGCCAACAGGAGCAGCCGGTGGAAAGGGTGTCAGTGGAGAGTGCTGCTGTAGTTTCAGCTAACGGTCATTTGTTGGAGCCAGCTGAACAAAACCAGCATGAGGGGCAAATAGATGTAGATGGAAGAGATAGGGAGGACAGCGACAGAGCAGCTGAGGTCAAGATAGTGAATGGGGAGTCAGAGGTCAGGGGTGCAGGAGACAAAACTGAGACCAGTGCACAAAATGGAGTAAAGAGCAGCACAGCCAACGGGGAGATGAAATCTGACGCAACATGTGAGGAGATGAAGTCAGATGAGAAAGATGGTGAAATAAATGGAGCAGGGGACATCACTGCGAGCCCACCAGTCCTTAAGAGTAAGGGGACATGGGCAGATGTTGTCATTTCAAAGGCAATTAATGGAGTAAATGGAGTAGCAGGTGATGTCACAGCCAATGGAATAGCTGAAGAGTGAACACACACACATATATATATACGTATATATAAGAAAAACAGTGTTGTAGTCAAGTTTTTCCAAAGTCACTGCTGCAAAATGAAACTCTCCCAGGTTCGTAGATGTAATTTGAACCAATGAACATGAAGCACAGAATAAAATAACAGAGAGTGAGACGAGTATTACTTTGTGGTGGCGAGGTTATTACTGATGTAGGGAGAGGGCTGTACTGCTGAGTGTTATTTTTTTTCAACAATAAACTTTTTACTCTGGTGTATTACACATTTGCCTTCTCCTCTTTAACATCAATCTTGTGACAATACACACACATGTAAGATACAAATCTATTAATAATCTATGAATCGCCAAATCCTGCCTCAGATGTAAACAAACAGCCAATCTTACCAAATTAAAGCAAAACATGAAGACATTTTTCTGTCAAGGAAAAAAACAGAAGGTAGAAGAGGATACAATAAAAAAGAAATCCTTTTTTGTGTAAAGTTGTACTGTTTGTAAGAAGTTCATAAAGTTGAATGTAAAAGATGCAAACACAAAAAAACACCAGTAATACTTAACAATCTATGTGCCCAGAAAACAGTCTGTTGAAATATAAAATTAATGTAAAGGACTATACCAGTGTTTTTATCATTTACTGGCACTACACATTTTGGGTGAATTACCATCAGTCACTTTAGAAAAAAAATACCATAATGTTTTTCTTTGTTCCAGCCTTGCATAGATTTCCATTCATATAAATAAGATCTGCACATCCCAGAATCTGCCAGAAATATTAAAACATAAACAATATGTTTAGTTAGATTGTTGTTGCATGGTAACCAGTCTTCCTTGTGTCACTGTGTTCCAGCAGGATCCAACAATGAAAAAAAGAGTCTTCACCTGAACAACATTGACGAGTAGATCAGAAAAGTAGAATGTAACTCTGGTAGCTTCCTGCATTTAAAAAGTTGTTTTTCTGCTGCTGACTCTTAAATCTTGGATTTTGGAACTTTGCACATAAATATGCATTACAAGACAAACAAAAAAACTGCAGAGTAAATGTTTTCAGTGATCTGTTACTTATGCTGTATCATCTAACTGACACTATTTTCAAACTTCTGCAAGCTGATTTTCATCTAGTAACTGAAAAAAAAATGTATTAAATATGGCCGTCTGTAATGGATAAATATAGTAAATGATGAAATGAAACACAAGTATGACTGTTTAAGCACCACACACATAAATACTTAACAAGTCCTCCTAATTCTATGAAAGTAATTATTTAGTGCTGCCTGAAAGCCAGCTTGAATTAAATAATCCAAGATGGTTGTCATTATCTTTTCCTCTCTCATGAAGTAGGATAGTGGCTCCGTTGTGCAAGAGTCAACCCACAATTTGGAGCATGGTTCATTTATTTAAAAACTGGTTACATCAATAGCAACAATAAAAAAGAATGTCCAGTATTTTCCATCTCATGATTTCCAGTCTCAGCTCTGTGTTTTTCTCTGTATAATCTCTAAATCAGGGCAGTGCTGGTACTGTGGTTCAGGTGGCTCTGCCCAGGTGGATTGTGGGAGTCTGTTAAGGTTGCTAGTAGGAAAGGTGATGACTGCTGTGTCACTGAAGACGTCAATCACACGGGATGGACAAGGCAGTTGTCTCTCCGCACACACATCCACAGCCTGACTAATGTAGCTGTAGTCTCGCTTGAACTCTCTCTCGATCGTCCTGTTGGTGCAACAGATAACAAACATCACCTCATCTCTCCTTCAGCTTCAGCTCCGTCATCTCCCTCATTCATGTCTTGTACGAACCTGTCCCTCATGCCATTGAAGCTGTTTCCAACGATTATCATCAGTGGAAGACACCGTGTGCTCCAGTTCTTCCACAGGAGGTTGTTGTATAGGGCTTTCCCACAATGCATCATGTAAAAGAGTGTGGGCTTAGTTGCCAAACGCTTCCCTTCCTGCACAATACAGAACAGTAAGTGAGCTTTGAAAATCAACTGGGAGAGACCTGAAACTGGGTTGAAATAAGTCATCTTAGGTTTTGTCAATGTTCTATAATTATTTATTGTTAATAACAAAAATGCTTAAGAATACTTTGTCTTTGGTAACTGGCTCTAAAATCTTGGTTGCCCTTAAGCTCTTGAACCCACCGCAGTGGAATACTTTACAAATAAGTCCATACTTTCAGCTTCGAAACCCAAAAAAAACAACACAAAATTAAAAAAAAAAGACATTGGGTTCGCTACTTTCTAGTCCCTGTAGTTAACTGTCATAAAGATCTGAAAATAATGGAAACTAGTGGCTGAGTTGAGAGTAGAAAGAATGAATTTAAAAAGCTAAAAAATTGGATGTAAATGCCCTTGATCTTCTCTGACCACCCATTAAGTTTTGGTCAATTACCTTGAGGATCTGGTGCTTACTGACAGCTGATGTTCAGCTGGTGTTGTCTGTCACCAGCGTTCATTAAAACCATTTGTTACCATGTGACCAAATTCCATACTTGGGTCAGGTGATGATATTGAAGTTGTCTCCAAGACAACAGACAACAGCAAAGACCAGAAATTCTGTTCAACATTCAACATTCAACAACACTGGATCAGTCTACTGGTTCACTACAATGTACATTTCCAAACACAGATGATCAACTGACCTCATTTTCTGTGAGTACAGTCAGACCCAGCTCTCTCAAAGCATCCCTCTCTCCAGTGGAGAATGCAGGGTCATAAACAGAGCAGTCCTTCAGTGGAATCTAAAGGGAGAGGAGCAGTGAATGACAGTTAAGGATGAACAGTGCCTCATGTGAGTATTTTTTCTCACTGATGAAACCCATCTCTGACCTGTCCTGCATCAAGCACCAGCAGCAACATGGCAAGCTGGTAGCGAGCCGAGGCGCAGGAGGAAAAGGAGCCGAGGCCATAACACACACACTCCAGATGTGGACACAGTCGGCCTTCTCTGCCCTTCTCCAGCTGGTCAGCGGGGTCCTCATTCTCTGGATGTTTCGATAGGGATGCTGGTCCTGCCACCAGCAGCTGCTCTGCAGAATAATCTTGAAATGTTCATCAAGCTGCAAGCTACATCCTTCCTGAGCTAAAACAAACTGTTTGATGATAATCCCACTAGTCCAGTATACGCACCTTTCCACTCTTGCCAAAAGTCCTCACATCTCAGCTCAGACCTACAGAGGGAGCGGATAGGCAGAATTAATGGACTGTCTAGGGTTTGTGCACAAGCACCTGTGTTCACCTGAATTATATTTCAGGAAATATGAATTATATGGAAATATGAATTATATTTCAGGAGCCACTGCTGGACATGAATTAGATTTCTTACACTGTGTCCCTGATCCGTTTAACAGTTTTACCGATATCCAGCTGCTCCTGGCAGCATGTTGAAGCTACAGACACCTGAAGTAAATTTGATTTCCGCGCTGCGCCTTTTCGTCGCCGGGCCACCTGCCACTCCTCTCCGGTGTCCGACATCTGTGCTAATTCACCTTATCCTCGTGTACTTAGACATCTGATAAAAAAAACATTTGTTTTGTTGACTAAGTTATCGTTTAGGCGCTGATTTGGGTTGACGAGCTTGCAACATATGGGGCTATTTTGAGTGTGAAACACGCATTTCCTGTTCCGGGATCATGCAAATTTTTTGTAATCCATGAAATTATTTACATTCTTTGTTTTCGCTCTAATTAATGCGTAATCAATAAAGTGATTTTTACAGCAATTTATAGCTCGATCATCTTTTAGAATCCGTGGACATTTGTGGTTTAATAACAAGCCGACAAACACCGTATTTGGGGTCTTTTCCAGCCATTTTTGAAAACCAGACGTCAAATAAAATGCTTTTAAAATATTGTTTTTTTTCTGAACTGCCATGAATGATAAAAACCACACAAAGTTAATTGTTTTATAAGTTTATAATTTTGTTTACGGGTACATTTCCGGAGTTCAATATTTGGCAGAACACCGGCAGTTACCGGAAGTACTTGTGTTTTCGTGTGTAAAACGAAGAACACAGTGGCTCCTGTTAGCTGGATTATCTCTCATTCCTGCCACAGAAGAAATACTATGTTTCTAATCTCCAAGTAAGGGAATAACTAACATTTCAGGTGAGTCACAGAGAAGAGTTTCTCATTATTAGCCAGGGCGTAGGTTTATCCTTTAAAGCGAGCAGGTTATGTTAGCTAACGTTAGCTTTTGCTAGTCAACACTAGCTTGTATTCACGTTGTGTTTTCTCTAGAGTAGTTGTAATTATAAGAGTATTGGTACCTACCTTGGAAGCTATTTGAGAAAATGTTGATTATATTTTTCTTTGCATTCATAGTAACCCAGTTAAATGGCAAATGCTGTTGGTGACCTCACCTCTGCAAGATACCGTGACCACATGCGTATACTCGAAATGAAAAAAATTACTGGATGTGACGATGGTTTGACAAATTAAGTCTCATGTCACTTTCCGAGCTTTTTGCTACATCTCGTGGCTTTCATCAGCATTTAGAGTTTATTCTGTTGTCATGGAGATGGTCCTGGATGCATCTTACCAATTGCTGTTTTTACACTTCCTCAACCGTCTTGGTATTTTATTTGTTCTGATAACCAGAGATGTCCATGTCCCACCTGTATGGGCGGAGAGGGGAGGAGGAGGAGGAGGGTGTGGAGATTGAGAGCTTTGAGGTGACAGACTGGGACATAGCCAACGAGTTCAACCCAGACCGCCGCAGACACAGGCAGACCAAGGAGCAGGCCACCTATGGTATCTGGGCTGACAGGGACTCAGATGAGGATGAGAGGCCAAGCTTTGGAGGCAAGAGGTAAGGCATAGGTTTGTTTTGTTGCTGCACCAAAGTCCCATCTTAGTCAGCCCGAGAGGAGTAGTACGCAGAAACACCACCAAGTGTTTTTAAACAGTAATATACAAAAATGAAAGAAGTGTTTTTGTCTTCTCTAGATCTAAGGACTACAGTGCTCCAGTGAACTTTGTGAGTGCTGGTCTCCGCAAGACTGCGGCTGAAGAGAAACAGCAGCAAAGAGGAGAAGGCTCTAATGATTCTGACGATGATGCTCCCTCAGCACCTTCCCCTCCTCGCAGCATTGCGCCCAAAAAACTCCAAATGGTAAATTCTGTCATATGTTTCTTAGCCAATTACAATGTTATAGGCAACAGAAGATTATATGAACAATGATATGATTTATTTAAGTGTATTGTTATTAGCAGGGTAATTTCCGCGGGAACCAGTCACAGAGGTTTGCAGGTGGCATACAGTCTGGA